ATTTTCGGACTGACTGTCCGGGTATAGTCATACATAAGGTATAAATTTCTCACTCACATTCTAATTCTTGCATTTTTTTTATTTCAACTGTGAACATCCCATGATTTACATGTTTATAAGTAATATTTTTGCTACATTTTTCTGAGTCTAATGATTTCATTTGTTTGTATCAGGCACATGAGAATCCTTGATCCTGGTGTTATTAATTTTACGTTTTGTTGTCTGGTGCTCGATAACCCAAAGTTGGTTGTCTGAAAGAGAAAAAAAAGGGTTCTTTGAAATTTGCTCGAATGAGTGCATGCTTGTTGGTAGTTGCTACTAGGTCTCCCTGAAAAAATTGTCAATTGCTTGATGTATATTAATTAGAATTAAAACTCCTTTGTCTCATTTATGTTTTAACCCAAAATTGACAATAATACCCTTATTGCTAAACTATTTGTTTTTAACAAAATTGTGGATTAATGATCGAGAACTCTAATTATATGAGTGTACTTTGTTTTTCTCTCGTTGTAATTATACTATTCCAAGTTCTCTGTTAGCAATTTAATTTAATATAATTTAGTTTCTATTCACATTCTATGAATTTATAATATTTTATTTCATCAATGATCAATTAAACCATAATTATATTTACTTTGACTATTTTTGCAAAAGATGTTTAGATTTCAACTATTAAACATTGAGTATCAGTGGCAAAAGAATAGATATGATCACATGTTTTTTTTTTGTGTTACATAACAAAATATTCACTTTTTGACACCCCATATAGTAGAACATGATGGTATAATAATACTTATACGCAAATGTTTTAATTACTTTTATCATGAAAATTCTTCATTTTCGACACACATAAGAATTAAACGGTAACCATGAAATACTAATAGTGATATGTTCTTTTTTCACGACAAATGTTTACTTTTAGTCTCACGTAAAAATTAAACGGTAATCATACAACACTTCTAGTTCAAGGTTCTTCTTTCATTAAATCGTAACCATATAATACTTATAGTACTTGTTTTTTTTCCTTTAAAACATGGTTGTAGAATACTAAAAGTCACATGTTTTTTTTTTAAGATTATTAATATTTTTTACTTGTAATCACACATATGAAATAAATAAATATCCACAAAGTACTAAGAGTCATATATTTTTTTTCTTGTATCATGACTATTGTTAACTATTAAACAAGCATAAGAGATTAAATCGTGACTATGTGTTCTAAAAATTGGTAATAAAATACTCACAGTCATATGTTTTATATTTAACAAAAGATTTTTTTTTTTTTTTTGCTTTTACACACCTAATAATTTAATCAGTGACAATTAAATAATTATAATCAATTTTTTACTTTAATAATGACTATATTTTACTTTTATACACACACCAAATTGTAAAAAGTAATAATAAATTATTTATAGTTACAAGTATTTTCTTTTTTCACGAACATGATTTACCTTTTAGCCACACATAACATGTTTCACTGTGACTATAACGTACTTATAGTTATACATTTTTTTTCTTTTATCATGACAAATGTTTATTTTTAGACACACATAATACACTAAACATGACCATAAAGTACTTATAGTTACTTGTTTGGCTGCTCTTAGTCAGTGTGTAATAAATGTTATAGTAGGGATACACAAATAATTAATGTGACCATATATTGCCTTTTAGTTATGTTGCATTCAAATGTCAAAATTTACTCCATGATACAGCCACATACACATTTATTTCATGGGACCATATAATAATATATTGTCTCTTAAAAAAACCATCACAAAGTTTTTCCATATATCTAACAAACATGTGGCGGATGGTGACATTTGGCCTCATTTTTTCAGTGTGGCTAATAATTGTCACATTTGTTATGTTTAAACGTGTCTAAATGTTTCAACTATATTACTAATGGTCATGAAATACAACTTAAAATGTCACTACAACAATGACAGAATTTTAGCAATAACCTTTAGACACAGTTTTAGTCAAAAGTGTGGCTGAGCGGTCTGTTTTATTTTATTTTTATAAAAAAAGAACGTTTATCTTTATTATAATTTTTATTTTTAAATAAAAATATATAATAAAAAAAATTGGGCCATGTGCACTTTACCCAACCCCCCTTCCCCCCTTAACGCCCCCATGACCTCTTCTAAAGATGCACATTGGCACTGCCAGATTGATTTCGGTTCGGTTTCAGAATGGTCCTGTGTTTCAAAGACCGGTTTCGAACGCGTATGTTTTGTTTTGGACCATCATCTTATTTCTCATCTTTTATTACCGGTTTTGGAATTTGTCAGTTTTTTTTGGACCAACATTTTTTTTTTCTGGTTAGACGGGTTCTTTTCGTTCTGGTTTTTATGGGACCACTCTCTGCCTTTTCCAGTGCGGTCTCATGCTCTTTGCATGCGTCTTTTTAAGTTCAGTTTCAAGGTTTTTTTTTTGGTCCGGTTTCATTATCTTTCGGTTTCAAGTTTTCCCGTTAACAAATATGTCATTAACCCCAAAATGATACAATTAAGATTTAATAAAAATGATATACTAGTCTTTCGTTTCCACTAATAGTGGTTGTCGCCACTCATAACCATTTTTCTTGTACTGTGTTGCTAAAAGTGTATAACTAACACAAAAGTTGTATGTATATAATCATTCGTTTCCGATCTTTTTTTAAACTAGTCTTGGACCGATCTCGGGTTGATCTCACAACAGTCGATCGTTTTTGAGACTGGTCTCGAAAAGATCTGTTATTTTTCGGACCGGTCCAAATTTTTTTTAGACCGGTCTTTTGTACATGTTCGGTCTTGGTGTTTTTTTTGGGACGGGCCCATCCAAACCGGTTGTTTTTGTTCATGTACCTAGGCCTCTCAAATTAGGCTGTTGATAGCAGCAAAGGTGAGACATACCAAGGTTTTTGGGCAAGGCTGCCTCAACATTTTTTGGTCTACAAGTCCAACTTTTCTCATCGATCCATCAGCCCTAGACTCAAATCGCCAAACCAATTAAAGCATCATAATTTTAGCTAGGGACGTATTCACTCCTTAATTTTACAACTTACAATAAAATATTGTAGAAAAATAAAATTAAAATCTTTTCTAACCGTCTAGTACTTTAGTTATTGTTAAGAGAGTAAATGTCACTTTAGCTCAACCAACTTACTGGTTTTGGTTTAAATGATCCCTAAACTTAATTTTTTGCTTTTTAGGGTCATAAAGTGTGTGCTGACCGTTTTAAATGGTCCCTTTCACCGTTGAAAACCGGTTGCTTATGCCACCTCTACATTTGAAGCTGATGTGTCACCCACATCAACATCGTAATTTCAGGTTTCCTTAATGACTATGATTTTTTCACTAAAATAAAGGAATAAAACTAAAATCATCCATCTTGTTCTTCTTCAACAGAGTTTTTTTGTTGCTCCCCATTCACAGAATCCATCCACCCATCATCCTCAAACAACTTAAGATTGGAACCTCATCAGGACTTTACGGGTGCACTCTATGGCTATGAGTTTTGATTTTTTTGGTTTTGTCGTCAGTCCATCTCATCGACTATGCCATTGTAAGTGATTATTTGGTGATTTTTCAGGGTCCGATCAGATCTCTGAAAAACAAATCTCAATCGTGACTATGGAGATGGAGTCTTTGGGGATCAAACTAGAGAACCGATTCAATGAGTATCAAATTCTTAACCTCTTACATTGAATCACTGAAATGGGTATTGACTCTCAAGCGAGCTCAACGAGTCCTTCTCGGAGATTCCAACCATTTAGACGACTACAGTTTCTTCTCCAATGGAACCTGATGCATGAGTTGATATACATTCCTTCATTATCACTGTATCGTCATGTGGATCCCCATTATTAATAGCAACGTCTTCTGAGGGTGTGTGGTTAATATAGAAATTTTGATAATGAAGATGATGTTTGTTAGTGGCTAGATTGTCTTATAAGGGCGTAAGTTTTTTGATTGATTAGGTGGTGAAGGTGTAAATGGGGAGACGGATGTTGAAGTTTGGTAAGGGCGGTTGAAATCGATGAAGTGATTTCTAGTCACTGTGGCAACATAATCTTTTTGTAGGGTAAGGATATTTATACGGATGTGTCCTAATGAACTTGAATCATATTTGAAATTGGTAGGGTTCATGTGATCTAGTAGTGAAGGAGAAAGTGAGAAATATATGAGGGAGAGTCATCACCTTTAGAACAATGGTCTGGTATACACTAACTTCTTTACTTTATACTTACAAGGATCTGAACTGAAACAAAGAAGGCGATGAAGATGAAACATAACAGGCAGTGAGCGGTCAACCAAGGGAATAGTTTCAATTGGGGTCGGTGGACCTTTGATTCGGAGATTCAAATGAAGCCTCCGATTCAGGTGAATTCGATACCGGTGAATGCATGTTTTAGATTCTGGCTTCACGATACAAATTCACTGAAACACGAGGAATTTGGATGTGGTTATCGATGAGGTTTCATCTAGGAGAAAGGGAGTGAAAGGGGTATCTGACGTGAGGAAAAGAAATGGTGTTGACTATTGTTTTTTATACCCTCTTAACGATTTATCTTCTTCGTGTTGATGATAAGAGAGAGAGAGAGAGAGAGAGAGAGAGAGAGAGAGAGAGTTTGAATGCCCTTTTCTTATTACTCCAAAAGTAAAAATGTTATTTAATCCAAATTTAACCGGTGAAACCGGGAAAAATTAAACTCAATATCTTTTTTAATAAGTCAATTCTAAGTTTAAGGATCTATACTATCAAAAAAATATGTAAGGGATCTTTTAAAACAAAATTGAAAATTTAGTTGGACTATAGTAACACTTACTCATGTTAAGATAGTATATTATATACATAAAAAACTAAGGAGTTAGTTGAAACTTGAAGATCTGGATGTAGAATTGTAGACCAATAGCTATTAACATCAATATTTTAGGTACTAGATGTTGGTATTTAACGACATGCACTTCCGGTGCCACTTACACCGACATTGCCTCTGCCTTTACTCAATCATGGCTAACTTTTTCTTGTGTTCCTCATCTCAAGGTGTTCAAAATTCATGCTTCATTCTCTTAGTCTTTTCATCTTTACTCTTGTTGCCCTTTTCTAAATCAGTCTACTTCGAGTTCACCGAGTTTCCTGACGACCAAACTAGTGTACTATGTTCAAGTGATGCCAAAACTTCTCGTGGAAACATCCAGTTCAACAAAGTCAATAACAGCCTCTATCGTGTTGGCCATGTGAAATACCCAAATGCAGTCCAAATATGGGACAGCAAATCCGAGAAGCTCACAGATTTCATCACTCACTTCACTTTCATCATTGAGACGCAACCTCCAAAAGACTCTGGCCATGGTTTCACTTTCTTTCTTGCCCCAGTTGGCTTCCAAATCCCACCTAACTCAGGTGCTGGATATTTAGGCCTGTTCAACTCAAGTTACCCTAACTCCTCGTTAAACAAAATACTTTTCGTTGAGTTTGATTCATACCCAGACAGATGGGATCCTCCATTCGAACATGTGGGTATCAACAAGAACTGGCTTGGTTCTGTTGCTTTCAGTCCTTGGAATTCCAGTTTGCACAGCGCGCGGGGATTCTGCTGATGCTTGGGTTTCTTACAATGCTACCACACAGATGCTGACTCTCTCTTGGCTTTATGGGAAGTTCATATCAACCTTGAATACGAGTCTTTCATATCAAGTTGACTTAAGGGAAGTTCTTCCTGAGTGGGTAACAATTGGATTTTCAGCTGCCACAGGTAGAGCAATGGAGAGACATATCCTTCAATACTGGGAGTTCAATTCAAGTTTGAATATAGTTGATAACAAAGAAGATACGTCAAAGAAAATGAAACTAGCAATAGGGTTAGCAGTTCCTTTGAGTGCTGTAGCTGTAGGAGGTCTAGTAACATGTGCTATATTTTGGAGGAGAGAAAATAAGCGTACTAAAAAGTCGCTAGATAAAGATGTGGGTTGCCATCCATTAACGACGATCTTGAAAGGGGAGCAGGACCCAAACGATTTTCATTCAAAGATCTTATTCTAGCTACCAACAACTTCTCCGATGACCAGAAGTTAGGCGAGGGAGGATTCGGATGTGTCTACAAGGGCTACTTATCACGTGAAGGCATGGTAGTTGCTGTCAAGAAAATATCACAGGGTTCAAGACAGGGAAAGAAGGAGTACATGACCGAAGTGAAAATCATTAGCAGTTTAAGGCACCGAAACCTTGTTCGACTCATCGGTTGGTGCCATGATCAAACTCAATTCTTGCTTGTGTACGAGTTTTTGCCAAATGGAAGCCTTGACTCTCATCTTTTCTTCAAAAAGAGCACCCTCCCATGGACAATAAGGTACAAGATCGCTGTAGGTTTAGCTTCTGCATTGTTATATCTCCATGAAGAATGTGAACGTTGTGTAGTGCGTCGAGATATCAAATCTAGCCACATCATGCTTGATTCAGGATTTAATGTGAAGCTCGGAGACTTCGGATTGGCTAGACATATGGACCATGAACATGGTCTACAAACAACCGCTTTAGCCGGAACTCTCGGTTACATTTGCCCTGATTACGTAACAACAGGGAAGGCTAGTAAAGAGTCAGATGTGTACAGTTTTGGGGTGGTTGCATTAGAGATAGCTTGTGGGCGAAAGGCAACCGATAAAGCTGACCAAAGTTCTTATCTAGGACTGGTGCAGTGGGTCTGGGGGTTACTCGAAAAAGGTGAACTGCTTTCATACGTTGACACGACGTTGAACAAGGAACTTGATATGACAGAAGTTGAGCGTTTGATGATGGTGGGGTTATGGTGTTCACATCCTGACCGTAGTATGCGACCATCGATAAGACAAGCAATTCACGTACTCAAGTTCGAGGCAACAGTCCCAAAACTTCCTTTAAAGATGTCGATACCCTTGTACTACGCCGCAGCAGATGCAACTGAAGTCAGTTCTTGTGGCGCTACTATGTCTACCACTAGCATTGATCTTGTTCGTTGAACAATAATAATAGTAGATAAAATCTCAGTAGGTTTGGATACAATGAAAGCAAGTTGTTCTATGGCGTTTTTGTGATATATGAGGACAACACAAATTACCATTTAATTACACAAAGAGAGAATTTCTTAGATTCTCATCTGTACTACTTCAATAGCAGAAAATATGCTTAATGTTATTTAATAGTTCGAGTTTTATGTTTGTTCCATCATTATTTATGTGCTAAAAATTAAAGGTAACTTGTTTTACCTCTTAACTATTGACTTCACAATTACGTCGTGACATATATGAAACAATTATTTAAATAACAACAAACCTGTAGTATATAGTATATACTATATAAAGATTTATACGTGTATCTATGGTACGTTTTTTGCTTGTGAACGTTACCCCTTCATTGGCACTAATACCTAGGCCTGACAATTGGGTTGGGTTCGGGTTGGCGGGTTGAAATTTAGAAATTCAACTCAATCCATATAATATATGGGTTGGTGGGTTGGCGGGTCACGGGTTGACGAGTTGGAAACATCAACCCAACCCAACCCATATAACCCGTATAAATATATGGATTGGCGGGTTCACGTGTCAGTGGGTTGAACCCAACCCGTATAACCTATTTAATAGGCAACACATTTTAAGATGAAATTGAAAAATCCAAATAAAATGAAGTCTAAGAGTTATAAACATTAAACATAAATTCATAAACATCCAAAATAAACATTAAATATAAAGTCATAAACATCCAAATAAAACTCTAAAAATCAAAACATTCATGAAAAGTGCAATTATTCAAACATAATGTAGAGTGTAGATTGTTACTTACCGTAGAGAGAAATGAAGGTAGGTCGAAAACGTCAAAGCCGACAAGAGTGAGTGCGAACAACGATGAGCGGATGAGGAGCAGGTGAGGATCGACCCGATGAGTGATTAAATCGTGAGTTCGTGATGTTGCTTCCTTCGAAGATCAGTCCTTAACTCCTTAATCTTTATCCTTTGTTCAATCGTTCGTTCGTGAATGTAGAGACCGGAGAGGATGAGGAACGATTATTTTTTATTAGAGCACGTAAATATGTGTATGGCTGGCTGCACAAGGACTCAAAAGTCAACACTCAAGGAGTCAAGGTCAAAGATGGATGACGGGATCACGAGACACAAGCCCAAGAGTAGCCCACAACACAATACCACATTGTCCAAACATATGGCTGATGATATACTAAATTACGAACGAATACCAAATTAAAATTTAAGGATATTATAAATAGAAACTAATAGTATAATATGATCTTTGATTGTTAAACATTAAAATAAATAGATAATTAAGTATATTAGGCGGGTTGGCAGGTTGACCCGCGTACCCAAACAGATAACCCAACCCAATCCATTAAATAAACGGGTTGGCGGGTTGGTGGGTCAGAAATCTCAACCCTAACCCGCTTATTTTCATGTCGAGTTCGTGTCGGGTTACGGGTTGGATCGAGAGTTGCCACCCCTACTAATACCAGACAAGAGCATTAGCGACAACAACCAACCTTCGAGTTGGTTGTTTCTGCTAATACTCTTCAATCACGATCCGTGTGAAAGTCTGAGATTATACCCTATTTATCGATCTTGTTGCTAATCCAACGGCTTGGGCCTCGTTACGTACATTATCAATAATGGCGACATCAATACCCTAAATAGATGGCGCCAAAACTTCCCTCTAGGCATGTGTCGCCGCAATTAATTCACCATCACAGCTAATACTCTGGCGTGGCCGCTAATACTCTATGCAAATAATCCCCTCAGTTTTTTCCTCTTTTGTTTTGTGTTCCCGAATCACTCCTCCACCACAAATTCTCTACTAAATCGATGCCTTATTTCTTTGATTGCGTCGGAAACTTCATCGCCAAAAATCCCCCAAACCTCCCCATTACCGGTGACAGCGACACCATCACCGGCGACGTCCACAGGTGACGATTTCATCTTCTTCTTTTTTTTTTCTGTCAGTTTTTTTGTTTTTCTTTTATTTTTCTCTTCTTCCTACTGAAAAGTCGAATCTGCAACAATTCTTTACCGGAATTTTTAGTTTACCGTCGGGATTTGGAGCTCCTACCGGAAAATCGTGAAATTTAGAACATCAACTATCTTCTCCACCTCCATGGGTTCTTCATCACCTTTTTATTTTTAATTTTGTATGTGGAATGTATATTTTGCATATGTATGTGTATGATGTATGTATATATGTGTTTTTTAGACCTTAATTTATGTATAATGCATGTATATATGTGTATATGTATTTGTATGTGTATAATGTATGATGTAACGCCCCATTTCTGGTATATAATTTAAATATAGTATTTTTCTTTCTTAAGAGGTACTCGACGAGTCAGTAGCCCGACTCGTCGAGTAGAGACGGGATTTGCATGCGTTTTTAGTGGGCGACTCAACGAGTCGATATTCCGGACTCAGCGAGTCCGCTACTCTGGAGGAAACGCTAAATCCCAATGTTTGTACCCTATTTAAACGTCATTATTGCCTTCCATCCCAGCCTCCAGCACCTCTAGAGCATTTCTCTGTAAACCCTAGTCCCCATTGTTGAGCTCGAGTGTTTTGTGCTAGCTTGGAAGTTATAGAAGAGAAGGAAGGAAAGAAGATTAATAGAAGAGAAAGGAGATCCAGAATCTAGCTTCCATTTGCTACATATTCTGGTAATAAAGTTATCACCTTGCTTATTCTTCCATTAAACCTCTTTTATGATTGTTTGTGTTTCTCTTGGAAATTTATATGATTTAAACTCGAGAATTGAACTCTCCTTAGGATGGAAACCATAGATCTGGATGTTATTGAGCTCTAAGAGCTCAATGTAGCTACCTTTATGCAAATATAGCCTTGTTCCAAACCCTAAGTGCTTAGTGTTGAAGGATTTTGGTGTTTTAGGCCCATTCACGTGTGCATGCACGTAAAGCTGGAAACTTTACGTGCAAAACCAGCCCTAGAAGCCCAGATCTATGAATTGGATGCACTCATACCGACTAGAAGCGACTGTATAGTAGTAGCATACAGGAGACTCAGCGAGTCCACGCCGTGACTCGGCGAGTCCAAGGCAATCTTCTTGCCTCAAGAACAGACTCGATGGGTTGTTCATACAACTCGGTGAGTCACAGCTTGGATGTGTTCATATGATGAAGGAGAACTCGACGAGTTGTTCATACAACTCGACGAGTCAGATGATGATAGATTCGACGTTAACCCGGAAGAAGAACTCATCGAGTTGTTGCTAAACTCGACGAGTTGAAGCGAGTAGAGGATTAGAAAAGGTGTTAGGGACTCGGCGAGTTGGCGGTCTAACACGGCGAGTCCAGTCAAATGAAAGTTGACTTGGACCAGGAGGTTTACTTTGACCAGCGGTAAATTAGTCATTTTACCCTGAGGAGATTTATCAGTATCTGATTTAGTGTCTATGGAATTTGTAGCCAGGGAGTTCCGGAGCAGCAGTCAGCCAACTTTAGATTTAGCATCTCAGCAGCCTGTGTTACGAGGTGAGTTTCCTTCCAGTAGGAACGAGTCTACGGCCACAATGACGGCTCGTTTAGTTAGCAGTAGTTCCGGAATTTGGTTCAATGTAGTAGTTCAGTATGCTTGATGTCTTTGTGATTCAAGCACGTTTTTGTGTTATGTGTTCCGGAATTCAGTCTGATGCAGTATGCAGTATATGTGTTTACGCTAGTAATTATGACTATGCTATGCTATATTCAGTTAGTTCCGGACTTCGGTCCGATGCAGAGGGCAAGGCCCTGGTTAGTTTCAGACGTTGGTCCGATGTAGTTTTCGGACATCAGTCTGATGCAGAGGGCAAGGTCCTCGTTAGTTCTGGACTTCGGTCCGATGCAGTTCCCAGATTTTGGCCCGATGTAGTGGACAAGGCCCAATAGTTGTTTTATATGTTATTGTTTGGTATGTGGTCGATTAGGGGAGCTCACTAAGCTTTGTGCTTACAGTTTCAGTTTTTGATTTCAGGTATATCCGCAAGTAAAGAGAGGAGCTCTGGTTGATGGCATTGCACACACCCCAACTACAGTTCATCCTGGGAGTTTTATTCGGATATTTATGATATGTTTTGACATAAGTTGATTTGATACATTCACTTTTTACATTTGAGACATACGATTCGTGGTTTTGTTATATGATGATTGATTTCATGGTTTTAGTAATGTTTAAAACAAAATTTTTTGGACATTTCATATGTATATGTGTATTTGTGTAGTTGTATGTGTATAATGTATGTATATATTTGTATTTGTGTAGTTGTATCACTACAAGAAAATTCTTAAATAGCTACGAAAACTTGCTACGGAATTGAAATCTGTAGCTATTTTATTACGAAATGTGCTACAAAATGGCTTCTCGTTGCTATTTTGCTACGGAATTGGCTACAGAGTTACATTCTGTAGCTAAACTAGGAATAACTACAAAAAGTTACTATGTAATCAAAATCTGTTGATATTATACTACGGAATATGCAACAAAATGGTTGTCGTAGCTATTTTTCTACAGAAATAGCTATGGAGTTGCATTTTTGTATCAAAATCTTGAATTGTTGCTACAAAATCAAATTTGTAGCTATTTTACTATGAAATATACTATGTGGTTGTTGGTCGTAGCTAGTTTGCTATGGAACTTGTTACGTAATCCATTTTCGTAGTTAGTTGGCTACAAAATCGATTACGAAATAAAAATACATAGCTCGTTTGCTACATAATAGAAATTCGTAGCTACTTTTTGACAAAAATTTACTACACAATAAAAATTTGTAGCTAATATACAACGAAACTTGTAACGGAAAGGTTAACCGTTGTTATTTGTGTATCTAAGTTGTTTTTGAATTTGCAAAATAGCTGCAAAATCTTAATTCGTAGCTATGTGGCTACAGAATATTTCGTAGTCAATTAGTTACGGAATATACTTGCGTAGTAAAATACAAAAAAATATTTTACCAAAAACAATAAATTACTGTTTTTAATTGT